ATCCTGTCATTTAGCACGCACACACAAAAAAAACCCTTCTGTTCTTTCTTCCCCTGCCTGAAATAGCCCAGATTTCTTCCAACAGCATGACAATGCCCCAGCAGTAAGTATTAGGAACGTAGTCAAGTAAAAGAAATAGCAGGGTTGCTGTGAGTTTTCTGTAGCCAAAAGAAATAGCAATTGGAGCCATTAGAAAGCCAGATAAAGTTAAGACTAGATGCAACAAAGGTGCACGAAATAAGGAACTGCCACATTACAGTTTTCCTTATAGTGCCAGTGCCTAATCCTAACTTTCATACCCCATACAATTCAAATTATTATTGCAACACATTCAAAAATAACTACAGGGTAAAAAATTGATTGCAAACTTCACCTCCCTTCTCAGAAAAGAGCCACTTCAATAAAACAACCAGTTAATGTTTCGTGAAAAGATTCTTCTTTGCTGTGTATGTGCAATGCATGTGAAGGTAGAAGTCAGTGCCCAGACTCAAGACTATTATTAGGCAGCCCAGTGGTCATCTCTGGATGCAAATGTTAGGAGGCAAAATCAAAGTACTGGATCTGAGAGCTGTGTGCCCAGCAATCTGCCCATGTCTCATAAATTGGCCTGCTACTGAAAGTGCAGTTGAGGATATTGCCCATTTCTAGAGCTGAAGATTCATCTGCTAAAGTCTGGTTGGCTTTTGTGCATAGAAAGGAAAGAGATACCTGCATGCCTTAAGATCAACCCTATCTGTCTTTAAAGTAAGCACTGCTTTAGAAAACCCAGTGTGATGTTTTCTAAACTCAAGCTACAGCAGATGGAATCTGAGGCTTGGGAATATTTGTACCTTGAACACACACATAGTTTGACAGCTATCAAGGGGCTGCCAGTCAAAACTTTGTCCCTACTATCCTTTAAACAGAGCCGCTATTTATTCCGGATTTGCATGAATGCACTCCAAAACTATGGAAATATTGGCACTCAAAGCAAGAAGTAAATAAGGACTGATGAGCTCCAAGATTATTAGACCACACCTGGAATACTGTGTCCAATTCTGGGCACCACAATTGAAGAGAGATATTGACAAGCTGGAATGTGTCTTGGGGGGGGGGGGGCTGAGTCTGAGCGAAAGAGGGTCTAGCCTAGCAAACCTTTTGTATCATTACCCCAATAACCCCATGCATATGGGATATATTGAGTATGGTGATCAGATCAAATGAATAAACATAACAGTTTAAATAATGCACCAGTAAGGCCTTTTCGCGAACCACCATGAGAATTTCCCCCGGCTACATGCCTGTGTCGTGTCGAGAGGAGGGCAACTAAAATGATCAAGGGTCTGGAGAACAAGCCCTATGAGAAGCAGCTTAAAGAGCTGGGCATGCTTAGCCTGCAGAAGAGAAGACTGAGAGGAGACATATTAGCCATATATAAATATGTGAGGGGAAGTCAGAGAGAGGAGGGAGCAAGCTTGTTTTCTGCTGCCTTGGAGACTAGGATGCGGAGCAATGGCTTCAAACTGCAGGAAAGGAGATTCCACCTAAACATTAGGAAGAACTTCCTAACTCTTGAGAGCTGTATTGTCGAAGGCTTTCATGGCTGGAATCACTGGGTTGTTGTAGGTTTTTTCAAGCTATATGGCCATGTTCTAGAGGCATAGAGCATGGCCAGAGGTTGTGAGATAACAGTTTCTCCCCGTAGATATATTCAATGTATTATCGAAGGTTTTCATGGGGATGCCTGCCATAGATGCAGGTGAAATGTCAGGAGAGAATGCCTCTAGAACATGGCCATATAGCCCGAAAAAAACCTACAACCACCCTCTTGAGAGCTGTTCAGCACTGGAACTCTCTGCCCCAGAGTGTGGTGAAGGCTCCTTCTTTGGAGGCTTTTAAACAGAGGCTGAATGGCCATCTGTTGGTGGTTCTTTGAATGCGATTGTCCTGCTTCTTGGCAGGGGATTGGACTGGATGGCCCATGAGGTTTCTTCCAACTCTATGATTCTATTATTGAAATGGGCCGGCTAATGCCCAGTGAAATAGCAGAAGCTACCGTGGAGCAGTGACAGACATCCCATGGTCAATCTGGACTTCAAACACTGCTATCTCTTTCTGATACCCAGCGAGAGGGTAAGCCATTAATAATTAAAATGTGCAACTTATGTTCACATGTTTTCTTTTCCCCCTGAGAAACAGAGTAATTTCAGGAGATCATAGAACTGGGCTATAGTACAAGGCAGACTTACCTGCAAGTAAAGCCCAACATAGGAAACTTTGCTTCAGCTGTATGTGCTGTTTGTTTTTGTTTTTTCTTCGTGTAAAACATTAGGTTAAGTAAATACAGTGGAAAAGGCTCCGAAGACTCATATTTTGTTGACTCCAATCCAACCAAGGCTGACAAGCTATCTTTGACTCTTCTGATGGGACCTTTTGATGTCCAACCCCTTTTGATTATCTGTCACCATCACAAAGTTTAGAGAAACTAACAGAGAGCAACACAGGCGACAGATCAGGAATAAAAGCAGGCTGCTCTGGAAATTCTTTATTTCTCTGCCCACACTCCTTAGCTATGAACTTTAGTATATAACAATGTGCATAGGTGACATGTTAGAGAAACACACATCTCATTTTCCATTAGCTGAATTTCCGGGTTTATTATGAGAAGCCATCTATGTGGGTTGCATGCAACGCACTGGACCTTTGTAGCACCATTCCCCCATTGATGATATGAAGTAGGAAGGGCTAATGGATTGTAGGGAATGAGGTATACTTAAGAGCTTTCCTTTCAAAACAGACGTAGCCACCTGGAAATGGCCTGAGGACACAAAGCACCATTCTCTTATTGAATATATTACCCGAGATGAGGATACAGACAGGAGGAGAATTATGGAGATTGAAAACAACATACTTGAAAGTCAGTGACAACCATCTTTGAATTCCACATTACGAGAGTGCCACCTGCTGGGTCTGAACAAGTTCTGCTTGAAAATACTCTCTGCTATCGACTTAAAAAAAATCAATAACTAAAAACTCTCTTACAGATAGTAACTCACTCTGAAGGAAACTCAAACCAATTATGCCTCTTTTGTGAATAGGCACTTATTAATTTGAGTGTCTAGAGTGGAACCTTATATGCCTCATGAATAAGTAAAGAGTTTTTCAGATTTTCGGTCAGTTTTCCCTGACCTCCGCAAGCAGTCACCATACTGGAATATAAAGAGCTATAGAGGGATTAGGGTACACATGTATGCATATACACAGCTACTTAAAGAAATGCACAGCAAACATTCTACATGGAATATGTGTGGTGTTGCATGCAAAGATATGTTCAGATGTGAGCAATCTCAAGGGACTGTTGACAGCAACTTTATATGCAGCTCACATCACAATAAGAAAGAGGGCAACACAGAAGAAACAGGGGGGCACTCATTTCTGGGATGTGCAACCTTTATCTGGCTATTGTAACCATATTAACATTAAATTGATGTTTCCCACAGTGAATGAGTATGAATTCACATCAAGGCTGTCCATATTCCTCTATATCAGCCTTCCACCATCTAGATTTGTTAGACTACAACTGATAGTATGCATGGTCATAGAATCATAGAGTTGGAAAAGACCTCGTGGGCCATCCAGTCCAACCCCTTGCCAAGAAGCAGGAAAATTGCATTCAAAGCACCTTGCTAAGTATTATAGGAATAGTAATCTACAATACAATGTAATGGAGAGATGGAAAATTCTGGCACAAACCATAGACTAGAATGTGCCAGAGGTGTCTCCTCAATGGAGTTGTCCCAACTGTTATTGTCTCCATTAAGTCTCAACCACGATCTAAAGGAGTGGCTCTCAATCTGTGGTCTGTGGCCCAGCAAGGGCTGCAAGAACGAAAATCCAGTCCGTGAATCTCCTTCCTCTTTATTTATTTATTTTATTTCTGCTCCTTTCTGCAGAGCTAACCATCCCCTACCCTTTTGGTTCTAATGTTGGAGAGTGGTCCCTGGTCAAAGTGGGCCCTGGTCAAAAAAAGGTTGGGAATCACTAAAGCAAGTTGTTTTGATATATTAATTCAAATGTTTTATATTCAAGTTCTATGTTAGTTATAGTTATAATTTTCAATTGATTGTTTATTATTTATATTACAGTTGTTATGCTTAAGTTGTTCTTTATGTGGGGTTATTTTGGATTATTATATTTGTATTTACTGTTATCAAGGCATTAAATGTTTGTCTTTTTGTTTGTTGGAATCTGATCTGAGTCCCCCAGGGGAGACAGGGTGGAATATAAATAAAGTTTATTATTATTATTATTATTATTATTATTAAACTCTGGCTGGTCGCAAGACTACATTGCCCATCATATCAATAACAACTCACAGGTGCTTCAGTGCTTTCTGAAAGTGACAGTAAAGCAGATCTGTATCTCTTTCCCCAAAAAGAATCAGTTCATAATCTCAAAACCGAAACTTAACTCTGCACACCCACCTTATTACTACACTTGAACAGTATAATTTCAATTGCTGAAAATTTAATATTTTTTTGCTTGCACACATGTATATACATGTAGATTGGATAGCAGCACTGTAACACACATTATGTGCAGCGGAACTGGAGAAGCCAGCAATCTATCTAGAGAACAGGGAACACATATGGACCTAAAACCCAAAGGACCATGGATCACAATTACATCTGAAAAACAAAGACATATTTCAAAGTCAATGAAATGTACTGAACCCCAGAGAAACGTAAGAGTTCCCTCAACACCCTTTTGCTTTACCACCACCAAGTTTACTGGCCTATTCACTAAAAAAAGATAAAAGGGGGAAAACTAAATGTGGCCCAGTACAAAAACAATGTCTCTTGCTTAAAGTCCTTTCCACCGTTTCCCACACATCTAGTGGCTGAGGCTTTGTACAGTTAGAGTCCAAGTTTAGAAACAAGGAAAGAAAAACAACAAAACTAAAAAAAATGCTTGCAGAGGTTGCATTTCATAGTGGTAAGATGACAGAACCTTCTGGCCCCCTAGGAATCCACAAGAGTCAATCCATCATGCAGTGCACGTTTCCACATGTAGTAAGTAGAGCGTGCTGTTAGGGGGAAGCGGGCTCTGAACTCCTTGTAAGTTGGGAAGGTTTTTGACTCAAAGCGTTGCTGGAGAAACAGCTTGGCCTGGGCCTTGAACTGCGCTGTGGCAATCACATCCATCACAAACATGTCATCATTGCTGACTCGCTTCGCCATTTGATAACCTGGTTTCATGGCACTGTGGGGTTGAGCCATTTGCTTATCCACTGGAGCTGAAGTTTCCTTTTGCTGCGGTGGGACAGTTTCCTTTTGCTGTGGTGAATGGAATTCCAACTGAGTGTTCTCACCAGTCTCAGTAGTAGCTTGTTCAAAGTTTTTGGAGGCCCCATTTGGTAAAGTGGAATGCTTTTTGGTCGGGCTGCTGTTTCTTTTTCTCCAGAACCAATAGGCTGTAGAAGAGACACCTGGATGGCGAAGGCGGAACTTGCAGAAGGGCATTTTCCATTGGCAGACATGTTTTTTGGCTAAGTCACGAAGTTGCTTTTGCCAGCTGTACAGAGATGGCTTGATGTGAACTTGAATTTCAGGCTCTGGATGGTATCCATTAACCATCTTCCCAACAGGAGAATTTCCTGGTTGAAGTGGCAGGTGTGGCTTCTTTTTCATAAGAGGTATCTGACTAACACAAAGAGACTGAGAAGGCTTGACATTTGGGTTCTCTTTCATGGCTTTTCTCCTCCAGTTATAATAAGTAGATCTGGAGATGCCAGGAAAACTCCTCTTGAAGCTCCTATAGGGTACAAGGGTATTTGTGGAAATTGAATTTTCCAGGTAAGACTTGGCTCCTTGCATGGAGGTGCCATTTTGATTCAGGAGAGGAGGGCCTACAGATATCAGGCCTCCATCAGATTTTGTAATACTACCATCTGTACCAGTACAGATCTTCTCTGGTTTGTACACCTGGGGAGCCTTTGACAATACACCTTCAGCAGGAGAAGAAGCATTACCATTCAGCATGCTTTGCATCTCATGTTTCCAGGCATAGTAAGTGGAGCGAGAGATTTCTGGAAACATTTTCCGGAAATGCTGAAGTGGGACAATATTTCCCTCTTGAAAGCAAGTTTGCAAGAAGTGTTTGGCCGCAAACCTGGCAGCTGCTTTCTGTCTGTGCTCCCGGGACTGGCGCTTCCACCGATAGAAAGTACTTTTGGTAATGCTGTATCTTTCACGTAGGTCAGAATAAGTCACCTGAGGATCTTTGTTTAACAACTCCAGTGTCTTCACTGGCTGCGCTTGAGGTTCAGGAGGAGGATTGTTAGGTTCCAGTTCTTCTATTTCTTCCAGCCCCACAACAGGCACAAAACACTGAGCCTTGAAAACCTGACTGGAGAGCTGTTGCCCTGACCACATGATGTGAAGTGTGGAGGCTTGCATGCTACATGTTCTGGGTCGGATCAGTCGGTTAAAGTATGGGCGGATCTTTAGATTGCTCATTGGGTAGATGGAATAGATGTTACACTTCACCACAGAAGCAAGAGCATAGACATGCCACATATTAGCATAGGTCCCAGGGAAGCAGGTGGCTTTGATGTCAGCATCGAAAATAGCCTCCAGGACAGCCAAGGGTAAGCTAGTCATCTCAGGAGATTCCTCGGTGCAAAGCGAATAGCGAGCAGCCTGGAGCATCACTTTAGAGTCAATCATGCCTTTTAGGTAGTATTGCTTGTGAAGTAACATTTCAACTGCTGTGCGTACTTGTAACTCCAAGCTTAGGCTGGTATTTCCCCACAAAAGCATGCTGGCAGCCTCAAACAGGTGATTCCCTTCACCTTTGCAAATCAAAGGCAACATACGGGCAGGGGCATCTTCTGGATAGAGATTTCTTGCCACCCGGTCAATTTCTAGCTCTTGCTCAACCTGTCTTCCGCAGTAATTAGGTAAGGAGAAAGAGGACAAGGTTCTCTCAGCCTCCAAGGCTGCACTGGTTAGCCCATCTAACCCAAAGCATTCAGTAGCATCCTGTAACTCCTGAAGCACAGACTGCACTAGCTGGTGTCGCTGGATCATCCTGAAATACAGAGAATTCAATGAAAATAAAAATGTTACATTTTTAGCTTAACTCACACCTTGCTTACACACCCTGAATAAAGTGACACTGTTCGGCTGCACTATCAAAGCAGACTCAGAACAATACCTGCAACAATAACCTACAACCAAACATAGACTATGATACCTGGTTGCTTGATTTTCTGAAAATTGATCATTTCGTCTCCTAAAATTATCTGAACATATGATATTCATTTGTATTTCTAGGTGCAAAGATTACTGCAGATGCAGACTGTGGCCAGGAAATCAGAAGACACTTACTTCTTGGGAGGAGAGCAATGTCCAATCTCGATAAAATAGTAAAGAGTAGAGACATCACACTGGCAACAAAGATCTGCATAGTCAACGCCATGGTATTCCCTGTAGTAACCTACAGATGTGAGAGCTGGACCTTAGGGAAGGCTGAGCGAAGGAAGAAAGATGCCTTTGAACTGTGGTGTTGGAGGAAAGTTCTGAGAGTGCCTTGGACTGTGAGAAGATCCAACCAGTCCATCCTCCAGGAAATAAAGCCCAACTGCTCATTGGAGGGAAGTATGCTAGAGACAAAGTTGAAGTACTTTGGCCACATCATGAGGAGACAGCAAAACCTAGAGAAATTATGCTGGAGAAAGTGGAAGGTAAAAGGAAGAGGGGCCGACCAAGGGCAAGATGGATGGATAGCATCCTTGAAGTCACTGGACTGACCTTGAAGGAGCTGGGGGTGGTGACGGCCGACAAGGAGCTCTGGCGTGGGCTGGTCCATGGGGTCACGAAGAGTCGGAGATGACTGAACGAATGAACAACAACATGATATTCAACATTACAATTATGTCCCTTTTATTTAAAAGTCAGTTCTACTGAAACTCATTAGAATTTATTATTAAATAAGAATGATTCCAACTATAATCCCATGAAAAATAATGGATGTAAACATATTTAATTGGACACAGGATTACAACCCTAGTCTATGGGTTATATCTAATTTATAGGCCAGTCAATCCCTCCTTGATAAGCATACCAATATCTGATAATCTCAGATTTGTGCTCTGTTCTGGATCATACTACAGTATTTATTTTAACTCCACTATAGATCAAACTTTTGCTATTAAAGATAAGCTTTAACATTTTGAGAACTTGGAAGCTAGAAATGTGGCACAGGCAGCCTGATTGATGGTCAAAGAATTCCAGGAGGTGAAGTACAAAACACCTGGAATGTGGAAGTTTTAGAACCTGGCAAAATGGCACTACCTAGAAGAATCCTCCAACTTGTGTGATTCTGGAGCAGAACTAATAACTCTGCATATGTATGCATGCCCACAATGGTTTGCTTCATGCACACTGTTTAAAGCTACAGACAATGTGGTTGCTGTTGCCCATTTTTGGTCTAAAATTATTTAGCTGCTTGTGATCCCTTTATTTTATCAATTTTATACTTATTTATTTATGCAATGCTTTTGGCATGAAATAAAACTGATGGCTTTCCCATTCACACACAGAAATCAGAAATACTATAGCACAGACAATCCTGACTTTGCAATTATATGCCTTTACATTCACCCATGGTCCCACATCAAACTGCAGAACTAAAATGTGACTATCCCTCAAATGCAATGCTACTCACATAGGCAAACCCCCAAATATATGGCACTGATTTCAGACTGAAGAAAGCATTGCTAAGATAGATGCCATATATATAGTAAACTATCAGTTAGCTGGCAGTAAACTCTTAGTTTCAAACCAGTACTGACAAAAGTAGTTTTGCTATGCAGATGATTATATAGGAATCTTGGAACCAGTTTGAGGCCCAAATGGTAATTACACAAACCACAGAGCTTTGGTGTGCATTAAGGAATTTCTTTCGTTGCCTAGCCAGTGCACGTTGAAGCTAGCTTCAAACTGCATTAAATGTTCAGTGTGGATGGGGCCCATTTAACAGCATCCACCATCAAAATCGGACCATATAGTTGGCTATTGCTATTATGAATACTTTTTTTAAAAAAAATCTAAAAGAGCAGACGGACACAGCAAACATTACACAAAAGTATTTTTCTAACTACAGCAATTTTTACTATCTGGCCTTGGTGATGGCGCACAGCCCTGAATAGGCTGCACTTGGCCTGTTTTGTTAATACAAGACTCTTCAGAGACATCTTCTGGTTGATGAGTAGAAAAACGTGACTGGCCTTTAGCGAGTGAGAAATGCACTATGAAATGTAAAATAGTCTAAAGTAAATGCTAATAGATACATCAAGGTTAGTGCAGTTGGCATCACAAACATCTGGGAAGAACTTGAGAGGAATACATCTTCTAAACAAAGAATAAAGTGATAGCATTATATTATAAAGTAAAGGTAAATGTTTCCCCTTGACATTAAGTCTAGTTGTGTCCGACTTTGGGAGTGGTGCTCATCTCCATTTCTAAGCCAAAGAACCAGCATTGTCCGTAGACGCCTCCAAGACCATGTGGCCGGCATGACTACATGAACCACCATTACCTTCCCACTGAAGCAGTACCTATTGATCTCACATTTTTAAAAGATTTTAAATTGTATATACATACATAGAAACATACAGTTTTTGAAATTCAACAATCAAAATACAAGTATTTTCCCCCAATTCTACCACTTCCCCATTCCCTCCCAAGAACCTCTACACTTGACTTCTCTTTACATTATTCAAAGGTACAGGTACTATTGAATATTTATACCTCAACATGTTTGAGCATTTAATCATCTTTCCCTGGTTTCTCCATCTATTCTATAGTCTAAACCAGGTATGGGCAAACCCAGGCTCGGGGGCAGATGCAGCCCATTTGGCTCTTTTCTCGGCCCCCCCCCCTCTCTCTCTCTCTCCATCCTATCCTTCCCTCCTTCTCTCTTTCCTTCCTCCTTCCCACCTTCTCTTCCTTCCTTACCTCCCTCTTTCTCTCTCCTTCTTCCCTTCCACCCTTTTGTCCTTCCTTCCTTCCTTCCCTCTTTACTCCCTCCTTCCCTCTCTCTTTCTCTTTCTTTCTTTTCTTTTCTTCCTTCCTTCCCTTTTGTCTTTCCTTCCTTCTCCTTTCCCTCCTGCCTCCCTGATCTAAACACAATACCAATAGATTGACTATAGCTCAGTGTTATTACATAATCATCTGCCTAAGGTTCTCAAAAGTATTCAGAGGGAAAAGGAGGGGAAATGATGTAAAATTGGACACAGGATGATCTACTCACATATGCATGTTTTTGAAATGCTAGATTAGCAGAAGCTGGGGCTAAGAGCAGAAGCTCACCCTGCTCCCCGGATCTGAACCGCCAACCTTTCAGTCAGCAAGTCCAGCAGCTCGGCCATTTAACCCACTGGACTACCAAGGGCTATATTATATTATAAACCACACCTAAATTGTACGGACAGTTGGTTGTTATGGATTAGATTCTGCTCTTGGTAGCATCTCTTCCCCAACCAGGACAACTTCCTAAATTTTACTCTGGGAAAACTCAACAATAATAATCAGGAAAGACCTGAAACTCGGTTGTGGAGTGGGGCTGAGTGGGGTAGGAGAATATTTTTCAATCCATGTTGCTAAGAAGAAAAGAAATACAGGTTGGGTATCCCTTATCTGAAATCGTCCAAAAGTGTCCACATGAGTAGCTGAGATAATAAAGTCTTTGTTTTTGATGGTTCAATGTACACAAACAGGATTTCATGCACAAAATTATAAAAATACTGTGTGTACATATCTTATCATTTACATTAATGCAAATATAGGTACTCCAAAATCCGGGGGGGGGGGGGGGGGGGGGACTAAAATCCAAAGCACTTCCAGTCCCAATTGTTGTATAACAGCAAACAAACAACCAGACACACAAAGCACGCTCATCCCTCCCAATAGCCGAACATAACATCTATTTATCCGACCCCTTTCACCATGAATGGTACTTCCAAGTACCAACAAACTTTTCTCTTCTTCAAGAAAAATAGGACTCAAATGTGTATAGTTTAGCCTTAACAATTCAGCCAAGGTGTCATTTAGGAAGAGGGAGGTCAATCTCTCCACCTTTTGTAATTCAAACCACCTGTCATTCTCAAAGAATGCTGCTGGCTAAATTGCTAGTTGGTTAATTCACATACAAACTATTATAAACAAATTAAAACAACCCTGTAATAAGTATGTCTACCAAAGGAATGGACCTCCTTTCTAAATTAAAAAAACACTGCTTGACTTGTGTTCACCAATCAAGTATTATATAGTGAACATTTATCCGGCTGCAGACAAATATGCTATAAAACGGAGTGGCTTGTTGAGTACTTAGCACAATGACCTTAATCTTATTTTTCTTTTGAGTAATTTCCATAAAGATAGCTTCTTAGTCAGCTGCAAAGCACAGCAATCTTGTGGTGGCTTAAGGAAATTGAAAGCTTATGATACAAACTATTAGTTTAAGAGCTCTGTGTTGGATAATTTGATATGCTTTAAAAATAAATTTGCAATTGTTGCTTGACATTCTTATTCCAAAATAAACACCAAGGAGAAGCAGCACTTTCTGAAACCACCACACATTTGTAGGAAGTATTTTATTAGCAATATAGGCACTGAATTAATTATAGCAAGAAATTAAGACAGCCCCTAAATGTGGTTATTATTAATAGTTAAAGATGGAAACACCTTTTGAGTCTGAGTCTAGGAGCCCCCGGTGACACAATGGGTTAAACCCTTGTGCCGGCAGGACTGCTGACTGAAAGGTTGGTGGTTCAAATCCGGGAAGTGGGGTGAGCTCCTGCCTGTCAGCTCCAGCTTTTCATGCAAAGACATGAGTGAAGCCTCCCACAGGATGGTAAAACATCCAGGCATCCCCTGGGCAACATCCTTGCAGATGGCCAATTCTCTCACACCAGAAGCAACTTGCAGTTTCACAAGCCGCTCCTGACACGGAAAAAAAGTCTGAATCTGAACTCTGTACCAAGCCAATAAAAAAGAGAGGATACAGTGGCTTACATTTTACAGGTTCCAGGATTCCTGAAAACATTAATTAGGCCCCTTCCACACATTCGCTACTTTAAGCTGGGACGTATGTCAGTGTGGACTCAGATAACCTAGTTCAAAGGAGATATCGTGGGATTTTCTGCCTTGATATTCTGGATTATATGGCTGTGTGGAAGGGTCCTTTGAACAGATATTGTGGATCTGAAGACAGAATAGCTATAGGCCCTTCCACACAGCCCTATATCCCAGAATATCAAGACAGAAATCCCACAATATCTGCTTTAAACTGGGTTATCTGAGTCCACACTCAGATAATGTGGGGTTTTCTGCCTTGATATTCTGGGATATAGGGCTGTGTGGAAGGGCCCTATGTTAAATCTGTTAACAGCTGTAAGAGATGCCAGAATACTCCTCATAAGTATGGAAACCACTTGTTCATTTTACACAAGTAATAAAATCAGCTCAAGCCAATGAATCCTAATGCTGCAATAAACCCAAGTACTTTGTAAGAATTCCTCACTCTCAAGAATATCTGTTTATTCCATCCCAGACAGTTGAATACTCACTGGACAAGATTATCCCTTATCTGAAATGCTTGGGGGCAGAAAAGTTTTTGATTTTCAGGTTTTGGAATACCTGCATTTGCATATACATACCTAACCTTGGTGTTAGCACCCAAATCTTAATATGGAATTCATTAAATGTTTTCTGTATATTTCAAACACATGACCTATGGATAATTTTACATACAATATTTTAATAACTGTTTTCTGCAGGCTTTGGAAGATTTCGGACTTCAGGCAACCCTATTAGGATTTTTCAAAGAGGGTTTGCCCTTGCCTTCCTTTGAGGCCGAGAAGTGACTGACCCAAAGTCACCCAAATCAAGAAATAGCTTCCAAAGATCTACAGCAGTAGCTGTCAACCTGTGGGTGCCCAGATGTTTTGGCCTTCAACTCCAATAAATCCTAACAGCTGGTAAACTGGCTGGGATTTCTGGGAGTTGTAGGTCAAAACACCTGGGGACCCACAGCTTGAGAATCACTGATCTACAGAGATACTCGCAGGAAAACCTCAGCAAGCAGGAGTCCAAAAGTGGCAGATTAAAACCTGGAATCTCAATCAGTGGCTGAGAGTGGATTAGAAACTCTCTCCTGGGCAGTTTGACATTACTTTAACTGTGATGGCTCAATACTATGGAATCACAGAAATTGTAGAGCCCCCCCCCCCCCCGTGGTGCAATGGGTTAAACCCTTGTGCTGGCGGGACTGAAGACCAACAGGTTGTAGGTTCAAATATTGGGAAAGCGTGGATGAGATCCCTCTGTCAGCTCCATCTCCCCAGGTGGGGACATGAGAGAAGCCTCCCACAAATTTGGTAAAAACATCAAAAAGAAACATATGGAAGTCCCCTGGGCAACATCCTTGCAGACAGTCTATTATCTCACATTGGAAGCGACTTGCAGTTTCTCAAGTTGCTCCTGCCACTGAAAAAGTAACCAGAAATTGTAGTTTAGCAATACCTTTAGACTTATGTTCGAAAGAGTGTGAAGGTGCCTCTCCCCGGTCCAACATTGACACCATTATCATGCATGAAATCCAATACATGAACCAAACACTGCAAAGTCCAGTGTAAGCTCAGAACTTAAGTGGCTGAGGGGGGAAAGGAAACGGTCCGAGGTCAGGAATTGTGGGAGTTGAAATCCAAAACACTTGGAGGATAAATAAGGCAAACACTCATGTTAGCAGTCTCACCTCCCAACAAACACCAAAGGCCCCTTTAACACAGCCATATCATCAGATTATCAATACAGATAATCCAGATTATCTGCCTTGTACTGGATTATGTGGGTCTACATTGCCATGTAATCCAGTTCAAAGCAGACAATCTGGATTTTATATGGCAGTGTAGAAAGGGCCAAAGGGGCTTGGAAGTAAAAGGCCGCAGTCTATGGTTTTCATAAAGGTCAAGAACGTCAACAGCCCAACTTCATTACATGGCCCTAACATTATGTGTTCCCTGTAGTGGTGGAACCCTTTCCTTGGGATTTACAGTAAGGAGGAAACGCCAGAGAGGAATTTGCAAAGAATGAGTTTCGGGAAGACTTGAGTCCACTCAAAAACACGTGGCTGGCTCAATGTTTGCTCAGATATCAGAGGAAAGGGGACAATCCTAATCCTTTAACACCAGAAGCCCGGCTTCTAAAGTTTTCATAACAAGCCTAAAACCTCACAACCTCTGAGGATGCCTGCTATAGATGCAGGCGAAACGTCAGGAGAGAATGCTTCTAGAACATGGCCATATAGCCCGAAAAACCTACAACAACCCAAGCCTAAAACCAATTGGAGAAGAGTTATAGCAAAACGGGCCTGAAAATTAGGCGCACAGGAGGGCAGCCAGAAGCCCCATCCAATGGTTCAGGAAACTCTCATGGAAACAAAGATGCAAATGGAAGGAAATTGGAAATAAAAAAGGGAAAACATGAATACTTGTAGCACCCAGAGTGGAACCGTTAAGACTTGTAACAATTCCACCGGTGATTCCTCCAAGTTGGAATGATCAGAGCAACAAACTTGACCTTAAATCTGAATTAACTACTCCTGAAAGTAATAAAACGCTACATTGGAGGAAAGGTGTGGGTGGAATTGCAACCTTCGTTACACAACCCCGTTCCTGCTAAACTCTAAAGTGGATTACCTTGGATTCAGCCCAGTCTAAGGGAGGGGGCAGGGGCCAAGACTGGGAATCCACATTCTCTCACAAAACCGGCTTGTAGACTTTGGAAGTTCCTCCAGACTCACCTTTTACTTGTTGGTGCTACTCCTAAACAGTTGCTTGCTCTTCTTTGGTCTCTCCTTGCAAGACTGCTTCCTGGACATTTAAATCCTGGAGCAGGAAGCAGAGGGGGCTCCACTTTCTCAGCTGGGTGTCCCACATTCAGACTGGAACTGGTTTCAAATCTGGAGTGAACCAATTGGAGTGGCTGGCTGGTGTGTGAAAGGGTCTGGGCCCCTCCCATGCCCCCTACCAGGAAATAGTCCATCCCCAAGTGCTCTGGGATTCCCAAGATGAAAGGACTGCAGATTCAAGAGGTCACTTCCAAAGTTGGAGTGATCAAGGCTGTTGTCCTAAGACTCTCTTTGCCACAAGACTTCTTAAAGGGACAAGCGCCTTACTTACAGTGGTTAAAGAGTCTTACTATTTTGATTTATTTACTGCATTTATATATAGTTTTTCTCAACCCTGGGGGGACTCAAAAGTGGTGTACATCAAGTAATTGAAAGATTCAATGCCAACATGCATACAAGCCAAAACACAGTATCTAAAACAACGACATATAAAACAGTGGTTCGCAACCTTCCTATTGCCGTGACCCCTTAATACAGTTCCTCACATTGTGATGACCCCCAACAATAAAATTGTTTTTGTTGTCACTTCATAAATGTAATTGTGCAACTGTTATGAATCGTAAAGATCTGACATGCAGGATGTATTTTCATTCACTGGACTAAATTTGGCACAAATACCCAACACACCCAAATTTGAATACTGCTGGGGTTGCAAGTTGTAGTTGCTGGGATGTATAGTTAAGCTACAATCAAAGAGCATTCTGACCTCCACCAATGATAGAATTGGACAAAACTTGGCACCCAGAACTCCCATGACCAACAGAAAATACTGGAATGGTTTGGTGGGCATTGACCTTGAGTTTTGGAGTTGTAGTTCACCTACATCCAGAGAGCATTGTGGACTCAAACAATGATAGATCTGAACCAAACTTGGCACGAATACTCAATATGCCCAAATGTGAACACTGGTGGAATTTGGGGAAAATAGACCTTAACATTTGGGAGTTGTAGTTGCTGGGATTTATAGTTCACCTACAATCAAAGAGCATACTGAACCCCACTAATTATAGAAATGGGCCAAACTTCCCACACAGAATCCCCATGACCAACAGAAAATACTGTGTTTTCTGATGGTTGTTGTGATCCCTCTGACACCCCCTTGTAACCGCCCCCCGGGGTCCCAACCCACAGATTGAGAAATGCAGCATTAAAACCATTAAAATCATATTAAACACAAAACATAAACATTTAGCCAATGAAAACATAGAAATATACTATGCTTTGCAGAACCTACACAATTCCACCAATTCCACCCTACACAAAGACCCAAAACAGAATAGGAAGGGCCAGCAATGGGCAAAGGCAAAAAGGGGCTCTCTAGAGGTGTGTTTACATTGCAGAATTACTCCAGTTTAACACCATGTTAACTGTCATGGATCAATGCAATGTTGTATTTAACTATGATTTTATTTTAAGTGTGTTTTTGCTTTGAGGGATTGTTTTGTATTTGTGTCTATGGGCATTTTTCCCATATGTAAACCACTCCCCTTCAGAGAATAAGAATAAAGTTATTATTATTATTATTATTATTATTATTATTATTATTATGGGAGTTGTAGTTTTACAAGATATTTGGCCCTCTGCTGATGCCTCACCAGGTTGACCTCATTTTAAAAGTCATGATACAATGCTATGGATTACCAAAATTTTGTAGCATTGCTCCATGACTTTTAAAGTGCAACCAAACTGCATTCATTCCACAGTATCGTCACCCTAGGAGCAAATTGTGTATTCATGGGGAAAATAACATAGAAACAGGTTTCAGATGTAATTTAGTGCAGCTGCTTCTGTTGTTTCCACAATTTTCTCAAAAAGAGAGAAACATTACTAGAATCTTGTGTATTCTAGTGCAAGACACAGAGATTTTGACTTTTTTATAAGGGGTATAAATAAAGTTGTTTATTATTATTATTATTATTATTATTATTATTATTTTCTCTTCCCCCCTCCATCAGTTTAGAGAAGCCTCATTTTGTGTATGTCTTTTTTTATATACAAGAAGGAGATGGAGTATTGACATTTTAAATTAATGTAGTTCAATTTTAGGATTGTCTAAATTCCCTAAAGGCAGCAAATCCCATCTAATTTTTGAAGCTAAGAAGGACTGACAGTGGTTAGTGCTTGAAAGGGAGATTCCCAATGAATACCAAGTGCCGTAGGCCGCATTTCAGAGGAAGGAACTGGTAAGACCACTTCTGAGTATTTTTTTTTTTTTGCCTAAGAAAGCCTGATAAAATGCATGGTTTTGCCATAAGTTGATAGGTGACTTGAAGTAGACAACTTAAGTTTTGAGAAAGGTCTTGATCTAGAGCAGGCATGGGCAAACTTCGGCCCTCCAGGTGTTTTGGACTTCAACTCCCACAATTCCTAACAACCTCAGACCTCTTCCTTCTCCCCTCCCCCCACCCCACCGCTTAAAGGGAAAGGGTCTGAGGCTACTAGGAATTGTGGGGGTTGTAGTCCAAAACACCTGGACGGCCAAAGTTTGCCATGCCTGATCTAATTGTATTACAATTTCCTCAAATGTGTGCCGCCACCCCCAACCCCCACCCACCCACGCTCTGATTCTCCTACTCCTTTATCTCATGTACAGGTTGAATATCCCTATCCCAAAATGCTTGAGACCAGAAGTGTTTTTGATTTTGGAATACCTGTACTTGCATGTATATACATAATGAAGTATCTTAGAGATGGGACCCAAGTCTGTATACAAACTGGGTTTAAGTTTCATATGCCATTTGCCAGCAAATATGGAAAACACAAGAATGGCCATCAGACTGGAAAAAATCAACTTATATCCCCATACCAAAAAAGGGAAATGTGAAAGACTGCTCAAACTTCCGTACAGTGGCCCTTATTTCTCATGCCAGTAAGGTAATGCTCAAGATCCTGCAAGGAAGACTCCAGCAATACATGGAGCGAGAGTTGCCAGATGTTCAAGCTGGGTTTAGAAAAGGTAGAGGAACGAGAGACCAAATTGCCAATATCCGCTGGATAATGTAGAAAGGCAGGGAGTTTCAGAAAAACATCTACTTCTGCTTCATTGACTATTCTAAAGCCTTTGACTGTGTGGATCATAATAAATTGTGGCAAGTTCTTAGTGGGATGGGCATCCCAAGCCACCTTGTCTCTCTCCTGAGGAATCTGTACAAGGACCAAGTAGCAACAGTCAGAACTGACCATGGAACAACAGACTGGTTCACGATTGGGAAAGGCGTACGGCAAGGCTGCATCCTCTCACCCAACCTTTTTAACTTGTATGCAGAACACATCATGCGATGTGCGGGGCTGGATGAATGCAAAGCTGGGGTGAAAATTGCTGGAAGAAACATTAACAACCTCAGATATGCAGATGACACCACTCTGATGGCCGAAAGCGAGGAGGGGCTGAGGAGCCTTCTAATCAAGGTGAAAGAAGAAAGCGCAAAAGCCGGGTTGCAGCTAAACGTCAAAAAAACCAAGATTATGGCAACAAGAATGATTGACAACTGGAAAATAGAGGAGAAACCGTGGAGGCCGTGACAGACTTTGTATTTCTAGGTGCAAAGATTACTGCAGATGCAGACTGTGGCCAGGAAATCAGAAGACTCTTACTTCTTGGGAGGAGAGCAATGTCCAATCTCGATAAAATAGTAAAGAGTAGAGACATCACACTGGCAACAAAGATCCGCATAGTCAAAGCCATGGTATTCCCTGTAGTAACCTACGGATGTGAGAGCTGGACCTTAGGGAAGGCTGAGCGAAAGAAGATAGACGTTTTTGAACTGTGGTGCTGGAGAATTCTGAGAGTGCCTTGGACTTCAAGAAGATCCAACCAGTCCATACTTCAGGAAATAAAGCCCAACTGCTCACTGGAGGGAAGGATACTAGAGACAAAGTTGAAGTACTTTGGCCACATCATGAGGAGACAGCAAAGCCTAGAGAAGACAATTATGCTGGGGAAAGTGGAAGGCAAAAGGAAGAGGGGCCGACCAAGGGCAAGATGGATGGATGGCATCCTTAAAGTGACTGGACTGACCTTGAGGGAGCTGGGGGTGGTGACGGCCGACAGGGAGCTCTGGCGTGGGCTGGTCCATGAGGTCACGAAGAGTCGGAGACGACTGAACGAATGAACAACAACAATACACCTCATACACATGGCCTGAAGGTAAAATAATCTTAGGCATGAAATACAATTTGTGCACAGTGAACCATCACAAAGTTAAGTTGGCAGTATCTCAGCCACTTGGCGTATTTCAGAATTCCAGAAAAGGGATGCTTAACCTGTATATGTCTAGAAACCTGTCAATATAAGCCTACTTCATCAATCTCAGATATGGACAAACTTCGGCCCTGCAGGTGTTTTAGACTCCAACTCCCACAATTCCTAATAGCCGTTTAAGCAGCTGAGGAGGAAACTTTCCAAACTCTTAAGCAGTCATGATAGCTGGAAGGTTCAAGAGTTAAAAAAGGAATTTTTCCAAGCTCTAAAATATAGCAATATTCAGAACACGGAACTCAGTAAAAGACCCAGTTTCAGGAAAATGGTGAAACAAAAATACAGTCATGAAAAGTATTTGTCCGCCATTTTTATTATTAATAATATTGTTATGAATAATCACAATAGTGCAATTGTGTCCTATAGTGCATCTACACTGAAGAATTTAAGCAGTTTGACATCTCTTTAACTGCCATGTCTCAATGCTATGGAGTCATGGATATTGTAGTTTTACAGGAACTTTAGCCTAACCGGCCAGGCTCTGCAAGGAGTGGAATTATCTACAGAATGCTAGTACTTCACCTTCTACACATTTTGGGATTCCATTCCACAGAGCCATGGCAGTTATAGTGGTGTTTTCATTCTACAATATATTTCAGTATGGCAAACTTCGGACCTCCAGGTGCTTTGGACTTCAACTCCCACCATTCCTAAGCTTAAGCAGCGGAGGGGGGAAAGGAAGGGGCCTGAGGCTGTTAACAATGGTGGGAGTTGAAGTCCAAAACATCTGGAGGGCTGAAGTTTACCTATGGTTGGTGTAGATACACCTTTGGTGTCTTTTCATGTCATGAACAAAGGATACTTACTGAGTCATCAGCTGGGTCAGTAATTAACCTAGGAAGCAGAGAAGACACAGAAAGAGATATTCTGACCCAT